CTGTGGCTGTAGTGGTGATGATGGTGCTGAGGGAAAATAGGTGATAAAGATCAACAGCTTTATCTTTTTATTTTGGTGACATCTTTGCTGCTGGGTTACGTATCAACAGATTCAGACACCTCCATACGAGTGCAGCGATAACCTCCAATTGGCTGGCAAATGCAAGCTTTCAATGGTGACATTAAGGTTGGCAGAAAATATCGATGCACTTGCATACTGGAATATTTTGTTTTGGATATTGTTTAAACCCCCACCCGCTAGATAGCGGTGTTGCAAATGCAATCTGAGGGATATAATACAGTGATTTCTTGATTTATTTTAAACAAGGGGACACGGGGGGAGTCCTGTTGTATCCCCTACAAAAAAAGTTAAACTGGATGTGGATTCAAAATAGAAAACAGGAGATTAGCATAAATACACTTTGCAGTTTCTTATCTGTAGAGTGCCGATTTCAGTCACTGTTTTAGCTGCCATTTTTATAGTATACTTTTGATGTATCGTGATATCAATGTGCATCTGCAGTATCATCTAGCCACAGATGTTATGGCCTAGCATGTAGTTAACTGGGTCCCTCGCTCTCACCCTAAGAACAAAAGATGTGCACTCACTGATTGGCTGAGCACAGCTTGGTGTGTTTTCTGTAAAGTACCTGTCTGCCCAACTCCGAGCCTCTGAGGAATTCATCCACTGAGGCTCCTCTCCTCCTCGCATGAGGAGAGTCGTAGCCATCCTCCTCCTCATCAGAGTTGACTGGATGCAAGGCGTTACCTCGCTCGCTAAAGATATTCCTTTTCTCAACCTGAGAGAGGAATAGAAAGAGGAATGTTAGATTGACAAGAAAGATCCAAAAAGTTTAGTTTTGGTTGTATGTAGCTTCATAATAACTTATATATTTAAAGACATATCAGCACATATCAGTGATCATCCTGACAGATATTTCTGGTAGCACAATGAAGTCTCAATACTAAATTCTGTCACATGCTGAGAGGAACACTGTTTTATAATAAATACCCACGCACCCTGTTGCCCTCAGCAAACACTCTCTGGGCGGCTTCCCTGGCCATGGCCTTGGCGATGGTGTTGGGGATGGGGACTCCCTGAGGCTGCGGCAGAATCCTCTGAGGAGAGGGCGATCGCCGTGGCTGGAAGTGCGGCGGCTCCAGGTTGGGTCCGCGCATGGGAGGCAGCGGAGAGGGGGACCGCTCCCAGGGCTGCGCTGACCGCAGGCCCACCTCATGCTCTTTGGTTTCTGGCTCTCTGGCACTTACTAGCGGTTTGGACTTGGGCATGGGGTGGCGCTGGAAGTGAGGCTGGGACGAGGGATGAGCAGGAGGGTGGTGGACGGGCTGTGAGTGCGGCTGTGCGTGGGGCAGCGTGTGCGGCTGGGCTCGAGGCAGGGGCTGCACCTGGGGCTGAGGGTGATTTGGGGGGTACGTCGATGGGTAAGGAGGATGGGTTTGGGAGTGCACCGGATGGGACTGCGGGAGGGGGATCGGGTGGGGAGGTGCAGTGGTTCGGTGGGAGAGGCGTGGAGAGCCCAGGAGATTGTGCGGGATGGTGGCCACAGGCGAGTCCTGGGACTCTCCTTGTGTTGATAACGTCCTTACAATGACCTCCCTGGCCTCCAGACACTGAATCCTGTTTAACTCCACGGTCACATAGTCTGCTGTGGGGTACAAGACCTCTGCTATCTGCATTCACAGAGGAACCAGAGAGTCATAACCAAAGGGCAAATGTCAGCATACATCACACAAGCATATTTACATGTTAATTTTTCTCTCTTATCTGTTGGCTGAATTAATTGAGAATTGAAAATTATAATTAGAAACTTTACTAGAGCACCAACTTCAGGACTGTTGGAAAATTGTCATTTTATTTGATTCTGTCTGTCCAGGTTTAAAATTTAAGTGCACACTATCATGGTTGGACACATGAGCTATGTGGGAAAGGTATAATACCATGGAGCCTTTTACGGCTCTATATTTTGAAGTTATGTCTTAAGCCAGTGGTTCCCAACCTAAAAGTCTGGCAAAGCTTGACAAGGGTTCAAGGCTTCTTGAATTTTATGTTAAGATTTTATTTAAGATCTAAACTTTGAAGACTGAACACCAAGCTTGATGTCACAGAGCCTTCAATTTCTGATAAACAGCCTCGTCCTGAATTAGAAAACAACCCAAAAGAGCTCATAGACCAATGGCAGTATCAGGGAGAGGAAAACATGAATTTGTCAAAAGACCCCTATTAAGATGTAATGATTGTTACAAATAACTACTAAAAACATAATACAGACAGAATAGTATACAAATTTTTTTTAACTCATCTTGATGCCATATTCACAGAAATAATCTCAAAATTCATCCAAATCACTCGTTTGAGCACTAAACTTCCTGCAGTTTTTGAGTTCACTGTTTGAGTCCATTTACAGTTATCAGCTGTTCTCTGCTGTTTTTGTTATAACATAATATAATAATGAATGAGCTAAATATGTCACATCACCAATTGTCAGTTTTACTCCAATGAAAGAAAAGGGACCCCTTTAAGGAAAAGGGGCTGTCCCTGGGGGCTGGGTATTAAGCATTATATTATCTGTCAGTAGATGGCAATAGAGCACCTGCTCTAAAAGTCACCACTGAATGGAATGCTACCTTTTGTAAAACTGTATTGTAAGACAAAAAAATTTAAAATTAAATATTGTTCCTGCATTTGGTACCTTTATGTCCCTTTGTGCACACGGCGTACCAATCACGCTGGCCCCGTTGGAGGTTCCTGAAGACGTCAGAGCGGCCGGCTTCCATCCTGACCTGCAGGACCCGGGCGTCTGACGCACTGGACTGCACCTTGGGGAGGGTGAGGGGCACTGGGGAAGCACAACACACACACTGGTAAGGAGAGAAGAAAAAGACAGCTCAACAGTGGCTGAACATTTCAGCCGATTTGATCACACAAAGGAATGTGCTGACCTCCGTACTATGGTTTTCTCACATTCAATCACACCATTTACAGTGGCATCGCAATGGATATTCTTTCAGTCCAAGGGAACTGTCACTCGATAGTTCACATGTTGCACATACATGCTATACGCTGAGACTTCAAAAGATTACTTCTAATATTCTGCCTATAAAACATTTTTCGTGTCACTGAATTAACAATTAATGTTGCATTTATTATACATCATTGTACAATACTGTCAACCCTCTCGTAGGCGAGGATTCTATGTTATATTACTTTCCATCTTGTGCATGTTCACGGTATGAATCCAGAGAGTCATTCGCCATCGGGCGTGCGGCCGTAGTGTAAGCAGCAGCCAATATCCCTGTTCGAGATTCGGTGACAAATCATGTGCTAATGGAGCGCATAAAAAAAACACAGTCTACTATCTTCCACCAATCTGTAAGTGCTCCTGCATACTAAACAACATACCATCTGTGAGTGCCGCTGCTTCCCTGCAGTCACACAGCGACGAGAGAGCGACCAGATGCAGTCCAGCAAGTATTTCCGAGCTGTCAAACGTGCAGCTGTTGTGCGTCCGAGAAATCTACAAATCTTAATCACATTTCTACACACTGACTGGCAGCAGACCAACCACACACATTCCTTGAAACAGCACGTGCTGTTTGGCAGATTTCATTACCCTTGTCATTTTTAGAACTATCTGTCACACAACAAAACCAGCTCCTTCCAAGAACCGAAATGATCGTTTAAATGAATATTTCAGGGGAGCCATCTTTGTTAATGCTGGACACAAACCAGTGGACGCTGACCTGGATTTCCAAGGCCGGGAATTGGACGCTGCTCTTTCCGTGTGATATATTAATAAAACTTGTCGCTAAAGAACTAATGAAGTCCACTTGTTTGCAAAGAGCACATGCTGAGTGGAAAGCCTAATGTACGTGCCTCCCAGACACTGTTCCTCTTGTATGTGACAACAGTTTGTCGACACCGACAGCTGAGAATTTCAGACGCCTCCTAATTAACATGTTCAATAGATAGCTCATTTAATGAACCCTCAGCATGTTTAGCTTGTCAGCTGCCAACAGACAAATGTCAATTCAAACTTCCAGCCTCTCTGTCCTCCCTCTCTTTGTTCCCACTTCCTGTGTGTTTCTCTCATTCTCTCCCCTTTCACCATTTTTTTGCTATTCATGTATTGACTTTATAATGTCCTGATATATCTTGTCTGTAATTTTCATGGAGCTGCTTCTGCTCTCCATCCGTGGTATCTCAACAATGGGAGTTTTGGTTTCTTTACCATGTTAAATAAAGCAAGTTCCCTCCAGGATTTCGCAGGCTTTTTGTGGGATTGTCGCAGCCGCCAGTGCATAACGTTGCGCCATACGCACCAAATACTAGCAGTCACTGTCTCACTGGAACAGTTGCCTTACGATTTTTAATGAATTGTAAAAAAAACAAAACAAACCACACATCTTCAAACACAAATGCAAAAAAGCCTTAACATAAATACAATTTTTTAGAAAAGCTGCTGTGGAAATAAACAACACCCCCCCCCCCCCGCCCCAAAAAAAAACTGCAAATCCATGAGGAACCTGATTCTGAAAAAAGAATTGACGAATCCAATCCCCCTCAGCACCTTAGCCAATTGCTGGGTGCAGATAAATTATGCTTCAAACATTGGTCATCATTGTTGCTTTTTATATGACTAACTAAAAACTGTGCCTATAGGTTTATATCCACAAAGTGTAAATACCATAACTGTAGCTGGCTGTGGGGAGAATCACTCTTATTGCATTCTCTCTTTCCCGTAGCAAGACAGTCAGGCTGTGAGACCCAAGTTAGTGCTGGCAACAGCAAAGCATCAATGAGCCTCATGGGGAAAGAAATCCCAGAGATCTACGCTCACTATTTACACTAATTTGGCTTTGAGAGACTCCTTTGTTTCTAGTGTTATGTTAGGCCTTTATTACAGCAAGTGCTGTCTTCAGTGTTTTCTCCCATTTGCATATAATTTTTTTTTTTGTTTTTCAACCATGCATGTGTCTTATCGCAGTAGTACACACAAATCCTTGAGGGAAATCAAAAAGTGGCTGGGGAAAAATGGCTGAGATATTTGTCAGGTTTTGTAAGTGTAAAGGGTGTAAAGGGCTCAAAGCGTGTGGCTGGGTAAATAAATAGATTGCTGTGTTGGATGTAAATTATCAGATGGCTTTCATTGTGAAATATCAGATGACTTTGAAACAGAACAGAATATTAGAATACAAGACTGGCAATCAGATTGGGGGGGGGCAGGAGAACAGGAGAACAAGGTTACGCCTTTATCATAAATACACCTTTTACACACACACACACACACGCGCACGCACACATAACAGCAGACAGTTAGGTGATAAGCTAGTGAACATAACGAAGCATTTTGCAGGTAAAGAGAGATAGATATTTATTCCTCGGCATTAAAGAAAGCTCAAAGGGAGTGAATGTTGGATTTACTTTTGCCAGGTGGCCAAAAACATAACACACTAAATAAATGTCTGCTGGATGTGTAAATAAGCAAATATTTGCTACCAAGTTCACCTCAACATCTTTATACTGCCCCCAAGAGGCCAAACACATGGAGGCTCCGTACACAGAGTCAAGGTAATGTCATTGTGTACCTGAGATAATATATATTTAAATGAAAGTTCTGTTTATATAAAATCACTTTATTTGGAAATTTCGGGGGTGAAATAGGCCGATTAAATTGATTATAGTCTTTTTTCGGCTCTAAACTATCACTATTAAAAATTGGTCAACTTCTAAATTTTGTTTTTCCCTTTAGATAGGACAGCTTAGGATATGGACAGGTGAGAGAGAGAGAGAGAGAGAGCTATAACACACAGCAAAGGGCCACAGGTCGGAGTTGAACCCATGGCCACTGCTCTACCAGCTCTACCAGGTGAGGTACCAGGACGCTCCCTGACCTCCATATTTGATTTCAACTACAGCAGTAAAACAAGACTAAGAGCCTTTGTGAGGTTGTACTTGGGTAGGGCGCTGATGTGAGCTAAATGCTAACATCGCTAGGGGAGACATCCCCAGAGTGATTAAGATACCTTTTCTGGCAACAACGGATATCTATACCCAATTTCATGGCAATATTTCAGTCTGGACCAAAGTAGTGGACCAACTGACCAACCAACCAACAGACAGACATTGGCATGCCCAGATAAATGCTAGCATGGCTAAAAAATGTCCAAGTGGCTTTGGCTATACAGCCATACGCAGAAAATAAAAGTCACTGCATTTCTGTGTTTCACTGAACAGATAAAGGTGCTAATGTGAGTAGTGCTTTGGAGGCTGACCTGCAGGCTGAGTGCAGAACTCCACAGAGATTTCCCTCTTCTCCCTTTGATCCATTGGAAGCTGCCAAGGCACCTGATGCGGCTGCGCCACAACCTTCACCTTGTAAACCGTCATGGGCTTCAAGTTGAAGAACTTGTACTTATAGCCCCCCGCCTTGACCATGTCGTACTCTGCACCGTTGAGGAAGATGGTGTGACTGTAGTTGCTGTTGCTGGGCATCCAAGAGAGCTCGGCGGAGACCTGCGTGATGCTGTCCACCCGCAGGTAGTAAGGTGCCACCACCACGTCCTTTCCCACGAGCATAGTGCACCGGAGCTCGTCCGACGGGCCGCGGTCCGTGATGCTCTGCACTGAGATGCGGTAGGTGTTGGTGGCCAGATTGAGCTTTTCAATAAGAGACTTTGTCCTGCCCCCGTAGGGGACACTCATGCGTAACTCCTTATCCACCAAGACATTGTAGCCACTGATGGAGCCCCAGCCCGGTGGGACCACAGGAGGATCCCAGCCAATAATCACACTCTTGGCAAGTTGTTTGATCAGGTTGATGCGGCGGGGATAAGGCACAATGTCTTCACCGACCTCGTCAATGCTGACATCCAGGGTTCCTGTCCCGTTGCTGGAGGAGCCCAGGAGGTCCATGCCCAAGCTGCTGGTGCTTAGACAGTCTAGTTTACTGTCAGACAGCAGGCTGCTTATGCCTGTTCCCGTACCTGTGCCGACCCCCAGTCTCTGAGGCCCCAGGCTACTGTGGTTGAGGTAGCCAGGTTCTTTAGCTACTGTGTCCCTGTGTTGGACAGAGGGTGTTTCCTCATCTTGGACAAAATCCACAAAATTGGATGGGACGAGTCCCCGCTGTCCATCCAGCAGCTCTCCTGAGAAACAAAAAGGATAGATGGTTGGTATTGTAGCGATATTCATGACAACAGATTAAAGAGTATGTAGGCAGGTCGGACCTTCGTAAAAGCCATCCTCGTCCATTGTCCCGTAAACGTAGAGGTACTTCCCTGCCACCAGGGGGAGCTCTGCCTCAGGGTGCTCATTAGGCCCGTCATAAGGATTGTAACTACAGCAAAAACACATAAATGAATAATTCAAATGCCAAAGTGTTATATTTTTCTCAGCCAGTGTAAAAACAAATTCTATAATACATATGTTGACAAAAACAATTTGCCGACTGCTGCTTTCCCATTTATTTATTTGTTTTTTTACAAATATGAGGGAGCTGAGGACAGTGTGGTCTGAAAGCTTTGGTCCTGTTTCACATATTTGTGCTCTGAGGATTCCAATTATATTTTCTGCTGACAGGTAATTTTCTTTAGAGATAGAAACACTGAATCATCTTTAAGACCACAGCCTCTGTGTCTCTGTGAGAGAAAGCAAATATTCTCAGCCAGATTTGTCCATGACTTGTCTACACTGAGCGCCAAGTTCATTTTACCGTAGAGAGCTGTGTGAGGGATTTCTGGCCACCTCCCCTGTTAATCATAACCCTCTCTTACGACGTTTCACTTTGGTTTGGGGGTTTTCTGTACTGTTAGCACAAAGCTCCTGTGTGAAACAACTTAAACTATTTTCAGAGTTAAAGCACCATTTATAAGGACTTAAAAGAACTTGTTGGAAACAGTGAAGGTTTAATTCAAATGAAACAAGATAAACTGTGAATAGTAGGTGAAAAAGTAACTGTGTGGTATGCATACGTACCTGTACCGAGCAATACACAGCCGAACCTTCCCTGTGAACCTCGGTTTGGACCTTGTAGTTGAGCCGAGCTCTTTGTCCATCTACAGAAGGCAAAAAACAAATAATCATATTTTAAAACACCCGATTCTAATTGAATTTTCCACTTTCAGCTCATATTCAGAAAACCAGAGTGGAAAGCTTTCTAACTTGTTATTTTAGATCTCTAATTTGAATGTTTTGTATAAAAATGTGAATTCAGATTCAGAAACAAAATATAAAAGCAAAAACACTCTCTTCACACTTTCAATCCCTGTACCTATGCTCTGTAATATAGTGAACATCTTCCAAAAAAAGTTGTCCATGTCTTCTTTTGGTTTAACCTACAATCTGCTAACTAATTTTATTTTTCAAAAGCACACAAACACTATTTATTCAGTTTAAAGTTGTTCTGATATCGATACCAGCGCCTCCGGTACTGCCTAAAATGTGTGATCAGGTATCAGTGAGTCAGTGCAGCGATCCAATACCACCATTTATTTCCTTCCTTCCTACTTCCCAGCAGTGTCCCGTGGCCTTTTTTTCCACAGGATGGCGAAGTCATGACTGCCCTACTCTGAGTCTGATTGGCTTAAGTCAGAGTAAGAGCAGGTCATGTGTACTGTGCTGCTGCTTGGCACTGGTAAACACTTTCTTAGAGCAGCAAAGAAGTGTTAATTTCCGGTAGTTTAACGTTAGCCAGAGCTAACTAAGTGTTAGCATTTTGACTGTCAAGCAAGACAATAATCTCCACGCCAAACTTTTAAACATACTTGTATCAGCCGATAAGTCTATATTTATTCAGGGCAGGTTCACTGAGAGGAAGCCTTTCTTTAGCAGGAAGGCCCTGATCACATTCATACTTGGAAGCTGTCTATTACAACCACAGTCTCATGTGCGGATATTGGGGTTCAGAGCCTGGCTTAAGGGCACCTCAGAAAGTGCTGCTTCTATACTTTCCTTACCCAGATTTATCCTTCCGGCCCAGATCTCTAGCATCTCTAACAGGTTGGAATGAATATTGGGAAAGAAAAAATGGTGTCTGAACATCTCCAGTTTATATGTGCACTAAAAAATATTCAGATAAATCCCAAATAGTCAACCTGCAGGAGTAAAACCGGGATGCTTCCTGCACCCCTGCTGCGTGGATTTTCTCTGGTTCAGCCCAAACGCATTACTTAGATTAAAATGAAGCAGCATTTTTTCCCCACAACTGTTTAAAAGTCCTGTGTGTGCTGAAGAATAACAACGGTATGAGAGAGGTAACAGATCTAACACTGAGCTAGCTCTTAAGTTTGGTGCTTGGTGGAACTTCTCACAACTGACAGCAGGATTTTATTTGCGTAAACATGGAGGAATAAAGCAGCTAAATGACCCCCACATTCTCATTTAGGATGTTTAGATAGTCTTGCCTTGTGCAGCTTACGCTCATTACCCAGTTTACTATGTAAATGGAGAACTGTGCAATAAAGCAAAAGCCATTTGGGATACAAACAGACACCATTAGATACCTCAGAGAGGAAAGCCCGTGCTGGGCTGCGGGCTCGACTGCGAGTGAGGAATGTTGGCTTGACAGAGAGGAGCTCCGGCTTGTCTCCACTGATCTGTAGTGGTCGAATGAACTCAGATATCAAAGATCTGCTTGTTGGAGCCTCATTGCCTGTGGAACAAACAGAACAACTCTCATCAGATCCTCACATCACAACAACAGGACTGACATCAAGCTTGTCACAGAAACTCATATTACAAAAGAGTTCTTGAACTAAATTACCATCTATATCCATTTTAGAGAAAACTGACATTTTAACATAACAAACTTGATCTACATAGTTTGTTTTGGTAATCGAAACCACAAAAACAGTACCCATTCTTAAAATTCTGCAGCAAGGCTAGACAATAGCAGGGCAGAACTAGTAAAAAAAGAATTAAACGTCATTTTTTCTGGAGCTGATGATGGAATTAGCTAAGGAGTGAGACATCTTTCTTCCTTCTTGTCTCTGAGAGTCGTACATGCTCAGTACCGATCGGGCACTGAGCTGGAGTGCAATCGAGCATTTCACATATCCTGGAAACATGAGTTTAGTTAGGTAGCAGTGAATCTCAAACTTTTTCTGGCAGTCCCCCCTTCAGAAGCCCTTTTAGCACTATAACATCAGTAAAACTTTTATTTTCCCGATATAAATCATCTTTGTTTCTCTGGTCATCTACGCTCCACCTGCAGAGGCTCTGTGCACAACAGTTTGAGAACAGCTGCTTTAGAGGATGTGGGTTCAAACTCCAATTCACAACAATTCACGCAAAAGCGGATAAAACGGTATAGTTTTTCAAAGACACGTCAAGTTTCCGAAAAATGACGCTGGAGTGCCGTAATGAGAGCCGCCTGTCTTTCTAAGAGGGTCTGCTAATAAATAAAACAACAGGGTTTTAGGTTTTCCAGGAATTTTCCTGGACATATTCCAGGAGGTTTTCTTCTCTTTACATTCGACTGTTGGCTCACCACGGTGGAGCACAAATGTTCAAAACAAGTGGAATTTATTTTATTTGACAGACTCATCTTCCTGCACAACATTAGTTCATTTACAGGACTTTTGGTTATGTAAATACATTTTCAGGTGTTTCCATGACTAGAAAACTAGTTTCTAAATTTCCAGGTTTTCCAGATGTTCCAGGGAACCCTGAACAATTTATATAGTGGCAAGTAAAAATTGACTTCGGGCAAGTAGATTTCTGATTCACTTGCCTGACTGAGCAAGTGAAAAAAAAACACTAATGTTGGACCCTGGCCGTCAGAAATAGCTGATTATATGCTGTGTAGTACTTTACATATATCAACCATTTATGACGTGATCTACTCACTCTCCTAACTGGAATTAACATGTTTTTGTTAAGCAGGTGTCATGTAGGTGGCTATATGACAGTACTATATTCCTCAGTTTCTGTTCCCAATCTGTTGTAAAAAAAAAAATTAATTAAATAAATAAATAACTGAAATGAATTAAACTTCAAAGCCAGAGTTAAATGATACTGTAATTAGTGAAGCATTTGTGAATTCACAAAAACAAGTCAAAAACAAACAGAGAACAAGTTTAGCCAGCTAGGGGCTATTTCTCACTATGATTGATTATTTCATTAACAGTTTGTGTTTACTGCAGATTAAGTCAGAAACCTCTCAGACTTCTAATTTCAGCTGTGAATATTTCCCTCCTCTCCTCTTCTAATATGAACACTGGAGTTACAGCCAGATGCTCTCGCATGGCAAAAATAATACATTTATTCAATTGCACAGCACTTTAGAAAGAGTGGGCTTCCTCACCTCAAGCTAAATTAATTTGGTAGGCAATTTCAGCCACTTGAAAATATGACAATAAATCAATATTACTATTTCCTTTGCTAAAAATATTTAAAGTCGCCCCCCACTCAAACATACGTTTTTATTCTTGTTCCTACAGTGTGATGTTTGAATGATGTCTGTGCAGAGTTTGACATTA